CCTCCTAGACTCTGTTGATCCCGCTACCCTGGCAAGCTCTGACTACTAATAGAGATCCTCTTGGGGCCTCAGTCTCCCCTTACTTCAGTGAGGGGTGCCAACCCTCACATGCTCACGGATGGATGGTCTTTCCCTTTCACTCAGCTGAGGCAGCTTCTGGGAGCAGGCAGAGGGTCAAGGCTCACATCTCCCTTCTCAGAAAAGAAGATTCTTGTCAAAAACCCAAACTCCTCATTAAGTGCTAGTTTGTCATCTCCCCTGCTCCTGCCAGCCACCTCTGACAGTTTGTCTCTTCATGCAGATGGCTTACTTCCCCCAGCACAGTATTAAGACTCATCCATGGTGTGGCATATGCCAGACTTCCTGTCCCTCTCAAGGCTAGTGTTCCGTTGTACTGGCAGACTGTACCTGATTCACCCATCCGTTCCTTGATGGACATATGAGCAATTTTTAAAAAGAATATATACATATACTTGTGTTCTCTCTCTCTCTCTCTCTCTCTCTCTCTCTCTCTCTCTCTATATATATATATATATATATATATATATATATATATATATGTATATATTTAAAGAACACACACACACACACTGTTGCTGTCTTCACACACACCAGAAGAGGGCATCAGATGCCATTACAGATGGTTGTGAACCACCATGTGGTTGCTGGGAATTGAACTCAAGACTTCTGGAAGAGTAACCACTGCTCTTAACCGCTGAGCCATCTCTCCAGCCCATTTCTTCTTTTTTTAATGGCTGAAGAACATTTTGCCTGTATGGTTATTTGGTTTGGAGTTTTTGGATTGAAAACCTATGAACTCTGTAACAGCCATTGATTGGATGCAATGGACAGCTCTGGGGTGCACGTATGCCCACCAGGTGTTTCTGGGCACTTGCTACCCGGTACGAGCCTCCTCTGTCCACACCCTGGAGCCAGGTTTCTGGAAGTTGGACAGGTGCAGGTGATCTTATTGAGAGGGGCAGTCTCACCAGATCAGAGACAGTAAGGTCTATCCAATGGCTGGAGAGATGGTTCAGCAGTTAATAATGGGTGCTGCTCTTGTGGAGGACAAAGGTTCAGTTCCTAGCACTTACACCAAGTGGCTCACAACTGCCTGAAACTTCAAGGGACCAAATGCCCTCTATCCTCTATGGACACTTGTACACAATGGTGCACATAATTCATGAAGATGAACACACACACATACACACACACACACACACACACACACACCCTTTTACAAAATTATAGCCTAGGTGTGGTGTTGTACATCTTTAATTCTAGTACTCTGGAAGCATCGGCAGTCAGATCTCTGAGTTTCAGGCCCAAACCAAAACAAACTATACATCTATTCCAGTGACTATACATCTATTCTAGTGATTGCGACCGATGTCCTGTTGTTGCAGATGGATTGATTGCCCCCTGCAGGAATTCCGAATCTTGATTAAACCCTTGAGAAATCGAGAGCTCCCTTAATGCAAAGAGGCCCCAGCCACATTGGCCCACTGACCTTGTCTGACTGAGACCAACAGGGCTCAGCCTCTAGTCCTCACGTGGCTCTAGGTGTCAGTCCCGCCTTCCACGGCTAGAGGGCGGGCTCTGGCAGTTCCCCGCTGCATCTCCTGCCTCCTCCAACCAGCAGGGCCAGACTGAACCAGAAGCCTTGTTCACCTCTGCAGACCAGTTAGGGAGGGCATCCGTACCTGGGAGGTGGAGAGGGTAGAGCAAAGGGAAGAAACCTTGGGTGAGGCTTAACGTAGGTGCTTGGTAGCTCGGACGCCTGGGTCCTGCTCTCCTGGGGTCAGCTCTGGTTTAAGAGCTTTCTTGAGGCTGCTGCCTCAGCCAGAGATTAATAGATTAAGGACAGCACAGTGGGAGGGGACAGGCGCAGGGTCTCAGCTAGGCGGTGACACATGTGCCTGGGGCAGAGCGAGCGGATGGAAAAAATGAGTTCGAGGAGGTGCAGCTGCTGCTTTACGGGAAAGCGGATGTGAAGTGCTGACTGGTCCCTGCGGCTCTCTGTTCTTATCTGAACCGGGGCTGCCACTACCGGATGGCCTGGCCCAGAAGCGCCTTGCAGCCCTGAGCCAGGCGGGAGGTTCAGAGACCCGTTGAGAGTACGACCACTTCCTCCCGCCTGGTGTGCCCTTTTTTTTTTTTTTGAGTACTCCCGCGTGCTCTTTCCATCCCTGCTGTATTCTTTTGAACTTATAACGATGTAACAACATATTCAAAGGGGAGTAATCAGATTTTAATTCTGTTTTGATGCCCACATGGCTTCCTTGTCGTTTTGGCACATCCCTAGGTTGCTTCTTTGCCTTCAGATACAGTGAGCTGCCGGTCATCCCTACTGCACTATGTGCTGAGTCTGCTCAAGTTGTTGAGAGCACACTGCTCTTATGGGGATGAGAGGACTTGAGCCAGTTCAGATTCCTATGGCTGGGGGAGTTGTAGACTTAGCACTGACAAGCTCCCAGTGTACCACGGGGTCCAGATGGACAAAGGTGCATATTAGGAGCTTGATACCTCCTGCCACAGAGGGGTCCCAGGACAGATCAGTCAGGCCGTCCTGGCTTTCCAGTGTTTGCTCTTAGCTGGTGTGGTTTTAATTTGTATTTTTGTGATTATGAGTAAAACTGAATGCTCTTTCATTGTTTGAGATCTCTCTCTGTCTCTCTGTCTCTCTGTCTCTCTCTCTCTCTCTCTCTCTCTCTGTGCATACACATGTATGTATTCAACATGCATATATAAATGTGTGAACTGCATGTGGAGCACACATTCGTGCACACACACTGTGTACACATGTGTATAGTCACATACACATGGGCATCCACACAACACACGTATGTACATACACATTGTATAAGCCCGAGTGTATAAGCAGCCACCAACGTATGTGCACTCACATGTCTTGGGAAACTGATGATTGGTTACATGTCCTGCCAGCTTTCCCATGGAGCTTTTTAGATTTTTCCTTCCCAGAGTTGTTAGATCTTTGGGTAAAATGTATTTTAGATCTAATTTAATTTTAGAGGTAATTGTAGATCTTTGTGTGATAGCATAAATGTTTTATTTCAGTTTGCTTAGGGTATGTTTCACTATGTTGTGGCTTTTGCCTTCTACTTCATTTTTTCTTTTTTTTTGAGCCTAATGTGTCTGTGTTATGCTGAATGGTTCCTTGTCCAATGTTCTTTAATAGCGAGGGTTTGCCTTATACCTGTGCTGTTTGGGAACACGCTCTCACCTACTTGAGCTTCTTCTTCTTCTTCTTCTTTTTTTTTTTTTTGGTTTTTCGAGACAGGGTTTCTCTGCGTAGCCCTGGCTGTCCTGGAACTCACTCTGTAGACCAGGCTGGCCTCGAACTCAGAAATCCGCCTGCCTCTCCCCCCCAAGTGCTGGGATTAAAGGCATGCACCACTACTGCCCGGCCTACTTGAGCTTCTTGCAGGCTTCCTTTCCATGCTGTCTGCTGGGTTTGGGACTGTGCAGGTGTGTTGCATGTGGTGGGAACCTGATTACCAAGGCAGGAGAATGCTAACACTTAGTGCAGGCTGCTCTCCACTTTCCCACACATGTTATACTCCTATAGGTAAGACTATTTTTTAAAAAAATCACAATGATGTTGAGTTTATAGATCAAGTAGGAAGAGCCTCCATGTCTGTGGTATGGAGCCATTGTGAGTAGCGCTCTAGTCTGTGGAGAGACGTGTCTGTACTCTGCTTCTCCTGTGTCTACCTCACAGACTTCTAATTCGTTGGTTCTCACCTGTGGGTCACGACCCCCACAGGAGTCGTATATCGAGTATTTACATTATGGCTTGTAACCGTGGCAAAATTACAGTAATGAAGTAGCAACAAAAAAGTTTCATAGTTGGAGGTCACCACAACACGAAAACATTAGGAAGGTTGAGGACTACTGTAAGTGAAGCCTCATCTGCAGCTGTAGGGGGAGCAGGCTAGAACTCTGCCTGTGCCCCCAGAAGGCTTCTTGAACAGTGAAAAGCCACCCATTTCTTGATGTTCACCTTACACGAGCTGTGTGACCAGGTTTCTTTTTGTAGTACCTGTGAGGTATTTTATTTTTTTAAGATTTATTTAGGAGTACACTGTAACTGTCTTAAGACATACCAGAAGAGGTGATGGTTGTGAGCCACCATATGGGTGCTGGGAATTGAACTCAGGACCTCTGGAAGAGCAGTCGGTGCTCTTTACTACTGAGCCATCTCTCCAGCCTGTACCTGTGAGTTTTTCCAGCACCCTGGCTTACTCTCTTCTAACCCTGCCTGTGCAACACATGGCATCTCCTTCTCCCCTGCCCAACACGGAGTGACAGCAGTGAACTCAGGAGAGACTAGAGGGGCCAGGAAGTGAGTGAGTAGCTGTAAGCACCCAAAGGCCTTGGGCAGGCTCTCTGTTATCCAGACAGAGGTCCGAGAGGGGCATCTTCCCTCCTCTGTGATCAAAAGTCAAGACCCCAGGATAGTGACAGGTTAGGAACAAGTTTATCCTTTTTTTAAAAAGTGTCCTATCTTGTGTCCTGGGGGAGGGACCCACAGGTACCTCTCTCACAAAGAGATATACTTCTCCCACCCTACTAAGATGGCTCCCAGCACATGACATCAACCCTGCTGGAAGGACTCATAAAGGACACATTGGGGGACACAGGCAAAACAGCCCAGGGTACCTTCCTGCTGGGGTGAGGCTTGGGGTGTGTAGCTGTAGGAGCCTGGGAAGGCCTGATGTGGGGGAGCATGCCTCTTCCTCAGTGAAGTCTGCACTTGAGGTCTTTCATACCTGGGTGGTGACATGAAAATGTGGGGATGACAAGTGGAGATGTGGCTAGGGCGTGACTGAGTATTTCAGTAATGGCAAGGACTGACTCAGGCTGGGCCCGAACAGGGTGATGTCCTGCCCTACTTAGCCTGGAGCCTCAGCCTGGCCCTGCAGCTCTTCCTCCCTGACGCCTCTGCCCCAACACACCCAGAAGTACAACAGAACTTCTTAAAGTTAATGGTACCATTTAATTATAATGGGCTTAAACCAAAGGAAAGAGACTCTTGAGCCCGGTCATTTAGGGTACCCACCAGACGGCTTAGGCTCTTGGTACCTTGACTGTCTGAAGTGCCAAGGGAACCCTTAAAACACTTGCTCATTTCAGAGCCCTACGGTGTGAAGGAGTGCCAGAACTGGACTCCAGGACAGAGTGAATGAGGAGATCCTAACACCTAAACCACTGCCTGCCATAGCCAGAGTTGGTATGAGTCAAGGTTGTATCCCCCCTTTCTTTCCCTGCTGCTGACATGAACCTTGTCCTTTTGGTTCCTAGGAGGGGTAGGGAGAGTCAAGTGCCTCACTGGAAGTGTGGGTGGATCTCTAGCTCTGCTGGTTCCCTTTATTGCCTTAGTTTCCCTGCTGTAGAAAGAACTGAGGTACCTGGGCATGCGGGACAGCAGAGACTCTCACGGAGCTTTTGCCTGGTAAATGCTCATGATTCCCAGACCCCTGAAACTAGGAGCGTTTCTAGTCTTCATCAAAACCTTTCCAGGCCTTGGGATCAGTTCAGCACCCCCCCCCCCCTCAGTCTATGAATTTCCCCACCTGAGTATCTCCCAAGGGCGGCTTTAGGTGCTGGGCCCACTGTATAACTGGACCCCCTTGTTATGGGGTTGCCTCTCAGGGCTACTCAAAGCAGGCTGTAATCAGGTCCCTCCATTTCCAGGCACAGACCCCACAGAGGCCCTAGGGTACAATGTCTTAAGCCCCTAGAAGTGTCCAACAGTAGGACTCAGGAGACATAGACTTAGGCCAGTTCTGCACCTTGTGACAATAGGAATCAGGGAAGCTTGCTACTCCCAGCTTGTGGTAAGCCTGAAGAGCACTCTCACTCAACAGTACATGCACTGGAATTGGTGCAAGTGCTGGGCTGTCACTCCAGATAGCTCAGACCCTGGGAGCCTTTGCCTGCATGCTCCTCGTGATGGAGGAACGGACTGGTGCTCTCTGTGGAGGGTCTGCAGCATGCTAACAGCTGAAGAATCTGGTTAAAGAGGCCAAGAGCAGTGTCCATCCTCATGTCTTGGAGGCCGAGGACCCTGGGGGCCATCAGCTGAGCCTCTACGTCCTATGGCGGAGGTGCCCAGTCCTTCAGTGAAGACAATGGTGGCATATTCTGTGTGCACACAGGGGATGGGGAGCTCTGGTGTCTTCTCTCGCCCCTGGAAGTCCAGCTCCTCGTAGGCCACGCTGGGGACAGGTGCTGCTGAAGGCTCCTCCTTCTTCAAGGGGGGAAGAAGAAAGAGCCATTGGTGTAGTCAGTTGGAGGGGGTGTATTATCCCATAATATCAACCCCTCCCTTTGCTGGGTCTCCAGCCTGTCACTGGATTTGGGGCTCTTCTTAGAGCAAATGCACCTCAGCCTTGAAGCTGGGATCTGACCTAACAGTTGTCCCCTTTCCCCATTGCCCTCTGTGATATTTAGGGTGCAGCTCCTTCTTTCTGGCTCAGTTTCTACCTCTAAATGTTTCCTGGGTTTTTCGAGGGTTTAGGATTCCAAAATTTGACTTGTGCACCTTGTCTCTGCACAGAATACAGTAAGTAGTGACCATGTTGGACACGACAGGGGTACGCACAGTGGGCTTAGCCCCTGGGGGGACCAACAGGATATGGCTCTGGGGGCCTGGTGGGAGGTGTGAGCTGGGTTCTGCAGGCTTCAGCCCTGTAGGACCCATAGTCTCTCTACCTGTACCAAGACCTGGGGGTGTGGACTGTGACAGAGCACTCAAGAAAGGAGACCCATACTCACCAGTGAGTGGTCCTTGCTTCCAGTTCCTCTGGCCTCTGTTGAGACACACAGTTTGAGTTAGAGGGGAGCATGCTGAGACAGAGAGAGGAGAAATGTCCTCTCTGTCTTTCTCTGTTTCTGTTTCTCTGTCTCTTCCGAGTGTGTGTATGCGCGTGCATGCTTGTGGGTGTGTGCTTGGGAGGAGCGTGTCAGGCACTGACGAGATGTCGACCATCAGCCTTTCTATTCTCACTCGTACCCTTCCCATTGATTAACTGAGAGTTCCCGGTGTGACTGTGAATTGTGGAATATGGGCCTGCCACAGACACAGATGCATCAGTTCCCCCTTTCCTGGTGCACCACAGCGCAGGGTAGATATGCCACAGATATTATGTGTGGCCCCTTAGCTGGCTGATGACCAGACTTTCTGGGGGTGGCAGTGTAGGAATGGTCCACTCATGACAGGGGCATAGAGGTGGACTTAGACCTGCCTTCCAGCCAGAGAAATGGCAGCTCTCACCAGTTGTTTAGTAAAACCAGCAGCCTGTGGTTAGGTGTGGGTGGGGTGGCCACAGGCTTTTGTAGTGGTCAGAGTGTGTGTGGTGTATGATGACCCTTTTGGTGAACACAGGCCCTCCTGATGATCAAAGTATGTGTGAAGTACAGTAATTACAAGGCTTGGTGGGACAGAGCCAGGGTATGATGAGCCTTACCTGACATACCTGTTGAGCAGAAGGCAGCTAGGGCCCAGGCCAGCAGCAGCAATATGGGGATACCCACTAGGACGCTCATGATACCAATAACCAAGCCTTGAAACTGGCCTTCTGGCTTGGGTGAGGGGCTGGGATATCTTGTTGAGTTCTCCAGGATTCTCTCTACAGGACCACAAAGAATAGAGTTCTAGGACACCAATAGTGTATTCTCTTAAGGGGCACACACCCTGCCCTCTCCAAGTCCCAAGGGCTGTCTATTTTGAATGAGCAGTGACTGGCCATCTACCTTACTTCCACATGCTCCACCATCCCTTAAAGATAAATGAGCATCTGAGGATTTCCACAGGGAGAGGGACAGGGTCTTCAAGGCTCTGGGCAGAGCCTTGGAGGAGAGCTTAACAGGTCCCTGGGCAGGAAGGAATCTCCTACTTAGGCTCTACTAGCTGCACCTGTTACCACGAGCTCTGCTCCAGGGCTCTCCTTGATTTGTGGCTTGGGGGGCAGGGAGATGGCCCCACAGAGGTAGATGCCACTGTCGTTGCGCCGTGTGTCAAGGATGTTCATGTGGAAGTCATGCCCACTGGGCAGTTGTATGATCTGGAAGCGGGCATCCCGGACGGGCTGGCTGAAACCATTGCAGAAGGCGGCCTGTTTTTCAGTCTGGTTGCTGGGACTCAGGCGGTACCAGTTCAGCCTAAGATCCTCTGACCAGTTGGAGAAACTGCAGGTGAAGGTGGCAGTTGCTCCCTCTGACACTCTGAGCCAGGCTGGGGAGAAGGTAAGGGGCCTCCAGGGCCCGTTGGGGACCTCTGAAATGGAGAAGAACAAAGAAATATGAGGAAGGAGCCTGTGCACACTTTCTGACATTTTCTGAAATCCCTGGGAAGAGGAGTGTCCTCTCAGATCCATCCCAGGGCAGAATCTCATAGTTCTCCTACCAAGGAGCTTGCAGCTTCTTGCAGGTTGCGGATGTGTGATCCTCAACAAGCAGGGCTCTTCCTTCAGGACAACTGAACCTAGGGGCTGGAGGTTACTATTCTGTCTTTATGAGAATTTGGGATATTTCTCCCCAAGCTGTTTCTACCTTCCCTCTCCTGTTCAATCCCAGGCCTGACATGGATGTTCCAACTTCTGTTTGGCTGGCCTAGTTCTGTCTGAAGGGTCAGTGGGATAGTGAGGTGGGGGTGTGGGGACTTCCATGGAAACCCCAGACTTGGAGAGGGTGGACTCTTTAGTAAGCTTGGGGTCCAGGTGATAGCAGAAGATAAATGACAGTCATGTCTTCCAGCCAGATCAGAGGTCACAGCAAGAAGCCTCCAAAGATCCACTGTGCCATCGCCCCTCAAGCAGACAGAAGGTCGAGGACTCACCCAAACAAAGATGTGCTGGGCAGTACAACTACCAGGGTTTTTCCAGAGATGCCTGATGCAGCATTCAGGGTCTCAAGGCTCTTTTAGCAAAGGCCTGCCCCACTGACAAGCTTCTGCCCACATACAGGCACACTGACACACAACCTCCGACCAACACTCAAAAGCACCCACGACTGGGACCGTGTGATGCCAGCAGTTGAATCTGTGGTCTGGTATGTAGGTACAGTCAGAAGCCTCAGGGTCAAGGAAATACAGACTTGCTGAGCACACACATGCTGAGCCTTACCCAGGGGAGACTGACATGCACACAGGAAGTAGGCATTGAGACATCTTTGAAGCTGCTCTGGCCTCAACTCTGCCTGGGCTGCCAGCTCTCTTTAGCCTATGTAGTCATTTGGTAACTGGGGCTTGTACAGAAAGAGCCAGGGCAAATAGAGATATGTCCCCAGCTGCATCCCTCTGCCCTCTCCTCCTACTGACTGAGTAGGCATATAGCGAGGGAATTCTACCCAATGACACAGAGCAGGGCACTGCACTCCAAACACCACACCCACCTCTGATGTGGGGTATTTTACAATATTTACTGGGCATGGTTCCCTCCCAGGGGTACAAAGAGTGGGGCTGTGCTGCCACAGCTAAGGTTATGGGCTGAAAAATCAGGGGTCAGAGGCAAAGAAGAGGGACCAGCTAGGGAAAAACTGAATGGGAAGAGAACCGAGGACCAAAAACACCCGGCAAATGAGGTATCTGAAATCATCCAGCTCAGAAAGGAAGCCAGAGATACTTGGTAGAGTGAGCAAGCAGACTTCAGCAGAAGCATCCCCATCATGGAGCCTTGCCCAGAAATGGTCTCCATCACCACGTGGAGAAAGCAGGACTATCATTTCCCCTCCTCGGTGTTCTCAGCTGCACCACGGAAGATGGACAGAGAATCCAGTGCCACTTGGACTTGAGAGTGGGCATGGCCTCTGAGCTAGGCCTGGAGCACCTCAATGGTCAGGGTCCCTAGAATCCCTGCAGAATTGGTGAGGTCTAGGTCATAGGGTTCTGGGCACCATGTGGAAACAGGCACCGAGACATCTTTGAAGCTGCTCTGTGTCATTGGGTAGAATTCCCTCGCTATATGACTACTCAGTCAGTAGGAGGAGAGGGCAGAGGGCTGGAAAGGATGCGGCTGGGGACATATCTCTATTTGCCCTGGCTCTTTCTCTGCGAGCCCCAGTTGCCAAATGACTACATAGGCTAAAGAGAGCTGGCAGCCCAGACAGAGTTGAGGCCAGATCAGTTTCAAAGATGTCCTGGTGCCTGTTTCCTGTTGGTGGGCATTGGTCTATGTAGGTCTGTAAGGTCCAGGACAACCAGCAGTGTTGGGGTCCTTGGAGGGACTAAGCCTAGCCTAGGGGTTGCCAGTATGATGTCTTCCCATTTAAGAAAGGGTTCTGTTTCTTTTCAGGGGCAACACAATCACCACAGGGGCTTCTGAATACCCCTTTCTTTGGCTTACAATTGTGTGTCCAAACCACACACAGCTAGTATGTCACAACACAGTAGTGTCAATGAATCTTTTCTTTAAACATCCACTCAAGAAATATACAAGCCCTTTTCAAGAAGGCCTACAGCAACTACAGTAAGGTTAGACTAAGATTTGACAGGGTAGCACATCTTGCCCTTTTAGACTCTATCAGTGTGGTCTGGTCTCCCTCCCTGGAAACCTGGGGTCCTTTTACAAGTACTCCAGATAATCTTCAGTCTGTACAACACTACTCTGACCCACCTAAATCCACTACTACAGCCACACTGAACTCCCAGTCTCCAAACAGATTCTCAAGACTTTTCAGGGTGACGAGGACCAGAAGAGCCTCAGAAAGCCAAAATGGAACAGTGGCCCTCTTTGTTTTGGGCAGGTTTATCACACCTGCCCAAGGTCACCTATGGTCTGTGAGCATGCCAGGCACCTCTGTCCAGTTACAATTTCCTGTCCCCTTTGATGGTATTCCATCCACTAGGCCTTGGGACTGTGGTGTGTCCTCAGAGAACCACCTGCTATCCCCCCTCTCAAAGCTGACCCTTAGGTTGCCCCAGATGAACTCTTGGGTAGACATTTGCTAACGATTACAGAGCCTTGTCTCATCTGTTGTTTGCTTCCAGATCTCTCGAGCTCCTGAGTCTGAATGTGTGACAATTTGAGTCACTTGTCCCATTACTGGCTCTTTGCTATTCCTCTGATGGCAGGACCTGTGACTTCCCAGGTCTCTATACTTTTATGAGTCTTTGCCTAAGTCCATCCCAGTACTCTGTCTGGCTCTGCTTAGGTCCTGGTGGCTCTTCCTTCCTCCTCAGAGTCAACCTTTCTCCCTCAGTGCTCCACAGCCTCTTTATTCCCCCTAGCCATCTCCCGTCAAAATTCTTTTATAGAACTAAGATATGCCTTCCCTCAGTGTGCCTGTGGTGGGCCTGAAGAAAACAAGGGAGGACTTCCTCAGAGGATGTTTTGCTACAGGGATGGACAGGAGAGACTGGGCTCTGGCAAGAGAGTATCTGTATCCGGAGGCCACCAGGTAGTAATACCATAGGGAGGATACCCTCAGACACTCCAGTTCATCTATAAAGAGTAAAGTGCCTCTCCCGGAATGAATAGGCCCCTGGGAGAACTGCTGGGAATTGGGCTGGGTGTGATGGCTTCTAGAGGGTTCAGGATCAAGCCACTCCAGCGATCCTGGCTCCTTGCACTTCTGAGAAAGTGAGATAGCTACTTCAGTGGCTGGGGCCCCAGACAGTACCTTTGAGTCTCCCTGTGGAACACAAAGACAGATGGAAATGAAGTGTCACAGTGGTTAAAACACACAATGGTGGCTTCTCTTTAAGAGACAGGGACTGGCTAAGTAGCCTTGAACTCACAATTCTCTTTCTACTTCTTAAGTGCGGAGATTGTAGGCAGGTGCCATGCTGTGATGAAGACGTACTTCTGATTAATGCACAAGTGGTGGGTGGGAAGGAGGTAGGATGATTCTGACGTAGGCCACAGTGGGTGAGGACGTCCCTTTGTCCCTGCACTTTAGGGTCCACTATTTTGATGCTGTTTGCATCATTAGAAACTTCACAGGAGGGAGAATGGAACGTTGGGGAGATGGCCCAGCAGGTAAGAACATTTCCTGTACAAGCCTGGGGACCTAAGTTTGGATCCTCAGCACCCAGATAAAAGATGGGCGGGACAGGATGTGCCTGCAATTGCAGCAGTGTAGTGGCAGAGACAGGGGGATCCTTGGAGATTTGTGGCTAGTTAGTTTGGATGGAAAAACACAGGTTTCAGGTTTAGTGGAAAATATTGTCATGAGGAAATAAAGGGCCTCCAAGAGCTATTAATTCACTTACGACTATATACTCATGCTTTTTGTGTGTGTGTGTGTGTGTTTTCGGACAGGATTTCTCTGTGTAGCCCTGGCTGTCCTGAAACTCGCTCTAGACCAGGCTGTCCTCAAACTCAGAGATCTGCCTGCCTCTACCTTCAGAGTGCTTGGATTAAGACCTGGTACCACCAAACTCTGCTTTAACCGGCCTTTAAGAGAACAATGTAACAATCAACTGCACTCCCTCTGGATTTCCCATGTCATCAGCTTTTACAATGTAAGCAATGCACAGCAGCAGTCTTAAGCTGGGTCCTGGTCCAGGCCCCTGACCCAGTTAGCACATGTGTATCGTTTGCTGAAAGCAGCAGAGACAAAGGTTGAAAGCAATATTCTGTAATCTATCACAAAGGTTGAAAGCGTCCATTTATGGGCATTGGTTGATAATGGTGCTTGTCTGGGTCAGTGGGGATCAGCTGGAGCCAGTGACTTAATCCTTTGTAAAACTCTGTTAAAGATTTCTGAAAAGTATACCCCCCCCCACCATATGATGCTTTTCAATAAAGACAGCGCCTCTTTGCTAGGGACACACACACACATGCACACACGCACATACATGCACAATTCGTACAACAGACACCACTCACAGATACAGTTCTCTCTCTCTCTCTCTTACACACACACACAAACACACACACACACACTCATACACACACCTCATACAACAGACAGATACCATTCACAGACACAGACAGCCATGACACACAGAACAGGAGACACAGACATAGGGACAGATTCACAAGACAACCTTCAGGCAGGCAGAGATTCAGACTCGTACAACAGACAGACAGAGGATGGAAGACACGTGAAGCACGAAGTACAGAATTCTAATCTGGACTCTCTTGGTTAAATGACTTCAAGGGGAAATGCTTCTCTTTCTTTCCTGAATGTGACACTGATTCATTATTGGTGACTCAGAGTTAATCAATAATGCATACAATTTGCATAAAAGTAGAGTAATAAGGCAGGATATCATCTTCTAGCTCCACAGACATCAAAATCGACACCCATGTAAGTTTCATGGGTCTTCCGTGT